AAAAGTGTGACCTATCAATTTTTTCTACTTAACTACTCTTCCTGGAAGACAAACAATATCAATATTAATAATATAAAAGACAAATGCTATGTGAATACTTGAGGGGATTATATAGAGGAACTTAATGTGGTAGTAAAGGAATCACTGCTGAATAGACATCAGCAGCGGAGGAAAAAAAATTGTGTAAATTTACGAGCTGTAAATTTGAGCTAATCGTGTACTCCAAAGGATCATTCAATATCATTAAAAATGAAAGTGTTTTTAAAGCCGAAAGTTCAAACAATTAAGTGCCTGAATCATGACTGAATTTTTATAATAACAAGGATCGAGTATAGCATATGAAAATTTAAAAGGAAAGGAAACACAGTTAACATCTGTAACCCATCCTGAAAGAAAAAAGCAAATGGCACAATGCCTTAAATCCTCTACATAGTTGGTATCAAACAAGAAAGCCATAAGTAATACAAGTTCACATACTTAATGAAACTACATCTTGGGCCTACTAGTATCCCTGTATAAAGCAGCACACCAACCTTCCGCCAGTATCCCCTGGTGAAATAAAATCTCTCTGGCATGTTCAGCATATAAATCCCTGATATTAATAATGGAAAATTCCAGCCAAATGTGACTGGAACAAAGACAGTATAGGCAAAAATACAGATAAACCATAGTGCTTTAATATTTTCAAGTAATAATATTAATTGTCACTGCTGTCAGTTGTAGTGGCAATTTTGTAGAGACAATTAGTCTCTGCCTAGCCCAGGTATATGGTGTTCAAATGTCCTGGTTTGGTTGAGAAAGTCCTTGAAAAAGAATCGCACCAAACATCATGACAAAAATCTCTTGTATATTATTTTGACTTGGCTTCTCCTATGGACAAAGGATCTTCCCTGTGTGCCCTCACTCAAACTGAAATCTGGGAAATGAATCTATTCCAAATAGTGTAGCACCGAGTACTCAACGGGAAGGTTACGTGATCCACCCTTTGCAACTGCATCAAGTCACGTAGCCCAATACAGGAGAGCATGTTCCCCTTGTAACACCAGGCACAGAGAGCAGAGCCCTATGTCCTTTTAACCAAAAAAGATGGTGACCCTACCCTGGGGGCACTATTTCTGGCAATCCTTCCTGACCTGTCCAAGCAGGTTACGGAAGAAACCTGTTGAGATGTCTGAGCTACTACCCCAGTCCATCAATCCAGCCATCCATCACAGAAGGGCAGAAAGGGTTAGGAGGACTGACTTGGATGATGGGTTTTTTTCTAACAGGCTGCCTTGCCTCACAATTGAGGAAGCAGAAAAGCCCATAGTCCTTTATGGCACAGAATTTTGAATAAATGTATCTATAACAAATAACAATATTACTTATAAATATTTATTATTTATTATAACTATTAATAGAACCTATTAGTACTATGCCCCTAAAAGTGTTAGACCAGCAATATTTTTGCAATTCTGTTTGGAAAGAAAAGCTTTTGTCCCTACAGAAAAAGACAAGCACACTCTTGCCGAGGGTAAATATCCCTTTAGGTTCCACTAGCATTTTGCAGTTAATTAGTCAATCTTTTTGAGTCCTTCCCAGTCTAACCACATTTAGCTGAGTGTATCTGGTACTACCAGTGCTGGTCAGTTCACACCTTTCTTTTGGCACATGCAAGCTCCCCATCAGCTTACCTTCATGAAGAAGCTTGAGTACCTGAGAACCTAGTCTTAACAAAAGTTGCCATATATATTGCAACTCTCTTCTGCTCACTTTCTCCATACTTCTTGCAAAATTATGGCCAGCTTTGGATTAATTAGCATGACTGGGAAGACTTATGTCCTTCTTTAGGATAGTATTTTAGTGGAAATGTGTGTGAAACACAATTCTCTAATTGTAAAAGTATGAGATTGGCCATCAGAAGACCTGGGTTTTATTGCTTCTTGTGAGAGAACAGAGGCAAGTCACTTAATCCTTTGGTCTGAGACTCACAAATGCATTTGGTAATGCATTACCACCAGCATGGTAAGGCTGAACCCCAAGGGTAGCTTGCCATCCAGTGAAAACTTCAACCCCAATTTGGCTTCAGCTCCTGCAACTGCTACCTCTTTTAGGTAAGTAATTTATAAAGGGATCCTTAGAGGATGGATAGGAAGTGGCGTAAGCTTGTCAGGAGTGAGAGGCTGAGTAAAGAGATAGGCTGAGGCTTAGGTAATGAATCTGGTGTGGCTGGCCAGAGGGACAGTGGCATCCCGAGCACAGGATCCTCCACTTTGGAAGCATGGCACCGTTAGCCAGAAACTTTTGACAAAAAGCAGAGAGATTGAGTATAGCCTGGAGCTTACGACAGTCATTGGAGAAGGTAAGGTGGGTTGAAGTCCCTGCTGTCTGTGCTATACAGATTTTGAATTAGGGGGGATCTCCTGTATGCCAGCTGAGCTTCCCAATTTATCAGATGGAAACATGAACATGCTTCTTTTGCTCTGGCTGTTGGGTTTTTTTGGGTTTTTTTGGGTTTTTTTTCAACCTATCTTGCTGTTCTTTTTTTGTGTTGGCCTGTATGCCAACTGCTTCCTACCTCTGACAGTCATAAGGTCTGAAGAGGGCTCTCAATACACCCAGGTCCCACCATGAAAGGGCGAGCTCTGTCTATCATTCCCTCACTTTGGTTATCCCACCCTGAGCTTTTCTTCTTGTGCAAGGAAGGGCTTGAAGTGGCATGTCAGTCCTGAGTATTTTCACCATTTGGTCCGGTTAAAAGCTGACATGTGGAAGTGTATTTTTACATATGGCTAGGTGGCAGCTGTTTTGATATGTTGGAAATATCACTGATTCCTGAATTGTGAGCTTATGTGCTTACAATACCAGAGAGACACCTAAGCATCTTCCAGGATGCAGGTCTACACACACTGGATACCACTGTTTTCTAAACTGCTTTGAAATGTTTGGCTGAAAGTATAGAATGAATCATAGAATCTTGTAAGTTGGAAGGGACATCTGTAGGTCACCTAGTCTGACCTCCTGATCAGGAGGTTGCTCAAGGCCCAGCTCAGTCATATGATGAATATCTCCAAGGATGGATATTTCACAACCTCTCTTCATACCTGTACCAATTTTTGTCCACCTTCATGGTAAAATATTCTTTTCATTATAGCTAATAAGAATTTTTTTTTGTTCCAAGTTGTATTCATTACTTCTTGTCCTATTGCCGTATATTTTCAAGAAGAGTCTGGCTGTGCCTTCCCTATAACCTTCCATTAGATAGTTGAAGACAGCTGTAAGATCTCCCCTTAGCCTTCTCCTCTTAAGGCTGAAAAAAAGCGTTACGCTCAGCCTCTCCTCATATACCATGTTCTCCAGGCCCCTGACCTTGGTGGAGCACTGCTAGACTCATGCCAGTATGTCCACATCTGTCTTGTAATGGAGAGCCCAAAACTGGACATAGCACCTCAGATGTGGTCTCACAAATGCCAAATAGAGAGGAAGAACCACTTCCTTTTTTCTGCAAAGCTTCTTCCTAAGCAGTCATCCCATGTCTGTAATGTTGCATGAAGCTTTTCTCTCCCTTTGCATTTGCTTTTGTTGAACTCCATTATGTTCCTGTCAGCCCACTTCCACAGCCTGGCCAGGTCCCTCTTAATAGCAGCGCTGCCCTTTAGCGTATGGGTCGCTCTCCCCAGTTGGTATTGTCAGCAAACTTGAAATATGCCGTAAGCGCTCACTGTTAATGTTTGCAGAAAGGGAGGAGGTTGGTGAACAAAGACCTGACTTCACTCTGTTTATTGGCTCGCTAGCATAATTTGGGGAAGCAATATTAGTCCATATCCTTAGCCTGAACTGAAACAGGCTTACTACCACTGAAAACCAAAAAAAGGCAATTTTAGAAGAGTGCCGTTGGCAAAGAAAGAAGCTTGTATTCTCAAATGTATTTAGGTGAATAATCACATTTTTTCTTGGCTTTCTTACAGTAGCAATATTGCAGACCATTTTTTCCAGAGGACTTTAAAATGATCTTTCCTTTAAAAAAATGATGTGTCTTTTCAAATCAAATAGCAACAGTTTGAATGCTAACTTAAACTTCATTTGTGTTCATTTTTATCATTATGAAATATGGTGCATAATTTTAATTACTGTGGGATAGTAATATTATTTTTCTAGACTTTGGAAAAGGTAAAGTATCATGAATAAACTATTAGCAGGGTATAATTTTCATATTACATGCTTTTGCCACTACCTTGAAGAATGTTTGACTGACCCAGATGTACTAAAAGCCAGTTAAAATGCATTTGAAAACTTTAAAGAACAGAGCAAGAAATTACGTAGCATACAAGATAATAGTTGGAAGGAAACATCTGAGAGCAGACTGAGGAAACCTATGGCAATCTTCCTGATAAATGACTAATGTCAGAAATTAAGCAAGACTCCTGCTCAAATACCATCAAATGCTTTAAATTTGAGAGTGTCCATTCAGATAAGCTCTCACATTTAAACAAAGGGATAAAAAAAAAACAACCTCTGTGATTCATTATTTTTCTGTTGGGAATGAGATGAACAACAGTGGTGCCTATTATATGGTCTATATTATTGGAAACACAAGGACACCAAAGTCTGTGTTTTCCCTCTGAACAATGCACACGACTTAGGATGATGAGTATGCCTATCATGAATCAAAGCTGATTATTGTCTTACTCGTAATGAAGCAGCACACTATCTTGTTTTGCTGGGGCTTCTGTGAAGAAAATGGGGAGAAGTTATGTGCTATGTCTAAGCTGCTCCGAAAGCACAGCCTGCAGAGCGGCTGTCAGGACGGCGCACTCCTCCTCTGCTCACAGTGACTGCAGACAGATTCCCCCAAAAGGGAGACTTGGTACCTTAGCCTCACCAGCAGGTATGTTAGGTTGCGTTTCATTCTCTACAAGTAAATTCTGATAACACGGCTGTAATGTTTCGTATTGATTTTGTCAGTGTTTATATATATTTTTACATTGTAACCAGATTTTTAAAAAAATGAAGAAACTTACAAAAGACATCTCCTCTAAGGCTTCGCTCGTGGTCAATTTGATTCTCAAAATCTTCCTTCTCCTCTTCATCTGACTCTTCTGCCTCCTCTTCTGCAGTAGCTTCAGTTTCTTTCTCTTCCTCAGTGTAGCTCCCACCGAGATCAATACCGCCTTCATAGCCCAATAACTGCAGGTGGGTCTTAGAAGCTGGTGTCATGGCTGCTTCTGGGATCACATTCTTGATTGTTTCATGCTTTTTCACACTGTTTTTATGTGCAAGAAGTTTCTTAATTGTGTCCTTAGCTGTTCCAGGGATTCTTGCTATTTCCTTCACTGACTTTTCAGGGATAACTAGAACCAAGAAGAAAATATGAAATACTCATCTAAGGAATCATTCAGCAATGACAACATTTATAAATGGCACCATGGTGTCCTTTACAATGTCCAGAGACACATACAGCCAAATTCTCTACTATGAGATACAAGTTCAGCTCTGCACAGAACTGAATACGCATACACGTGTTTAGCTCTGTTGTACAGACAACCTTCTCTTTGAATTGCAGTGAAAAGACCAAGGCGACCCTCTGTCATAACCTCATTTGGACTCCTGTGTAACACAGGCCATAGAGCCCCTTACATTAATTATTTTTACACTGGAGCTTGGGTAAAAAAAATTATCCTTCTTCAATTTGCGGACTACTAAAAATTGTCCATGGAGGTGTGATTCCCTGCATAACAAATGTCAGCCTACTAGCAATAAGCATTTTTCTTAGCTATCTTTTGTGAAAATCTCTGGCCTAACGTTACTTGCACCACAGGCTGAAAGCCACTGAAATGGAACATATTTTGAGAGGAGATACATCAAGCTGCTCCGTCACATTTCATTTAGCTCTAAGGGATATTTAGTTCTAAGGGGTAAACCCCAAAATTTCAGAAAGGCATCCAAGAATGCCAATTTATTATCTTCTTGCAATTCCAAGGAGGACTAGAACATAAATGTAAAATTTCCTGAGATTTTTACTATTTTACAAAATACTAAAAGGATAACCAGCCTTGTAGTATCTTGCAACTTTGGATTCTGCTCAGAAACACAAAGGCTGCCAGAAGTGAAAAACTTAAGAGTGGGGTAAAAGTCAGTTGAGATTGTTCAAATCTGTAAAGCAAAAGAAAAAAACCTGAATTTTGGGTTTTCCCTATTATGAAGTAAAATGAAGTAAAATATCCTCTATATCCAGGCAAAAACTTCAAAATATTCATTGGTAAGAGGATATTTTTACATTTACATGGCAGCCCTGATTTTCAAATCATGCCTTCTTTGTCAATGTATTGAGTTTCAAGACACAAGCCTTTTATTTCTTTTAAAACTCATTTTTTCTCTCTCTACAATGATCACGCTATGCTTGGATGCTTGAATGAGGGACATTTTTCATAGGAACCCATTTGAAGATGCATTTCTAGGGATGTGGGGAGGCAGGATTGATTTTCCACCAGTGGTGGGACCCAGTAGCAGCGCAAAAGGCTCCTTTGAGACAGTATGTTGGCCAGCTGCTTTCCATGTTCTCTTAAGATAGGAAAATTATCAGTTTACATGAAATGAGAAGAGATTTTAGTTACATATTATGAAAAACTTGCTTACTATCCTTGCTATAGGATAGTAAAACACAGGAGCAAGCCACTTAGATTATTTGAACTGTATCACTAGCAGTTTTAAAAAATTGTTAGGCTATGATCTGTCATTAATATGCTGGACATGATCTGCCTCAGAGTAAAAGAACAGACTAACTGATCTTTTTTAGTCCCTTCCAGATGTACTCTTCTGTCATCCAGCAAAGACCGATGGCTCTTTGTGCTGATGGGCAAATCATAACTGAGGATTAAAGCCAGGACTACTTTGGATCAGTTTGTTCAAGGTATGTGTACAGTACAAAGCAAATTCAAAGGAGAAATTATGGCAATACTGCAGTTGCTTTTTATCAGCAACATCAGTTGCTGCTCAACATCAGCTGAGGAACACCACTGTGCTAAAACTAGGTCTGGAAGGGTTTGCGTGACAAATATGCAAATTTTAGAGAAGACATGAATCTGAGGAGTTCTAGTTTATGAAATGATCCCATTCCACCATAAGGATTCCACTAGAGTTAACCAAGTCCCTACCTGTCATAGTACCAGAGCTACTGAGGAAGAGAGTGTCCTTGGGGTTTAAAGTCCATGGCAATGGACTTTGAGGCTTGAGACAATGAGGCTTTTGAATCAACTCAGGATTTCATGACTGCTATGACATGACCAGTCAGTATGCAACTATATACTCGGCCCTCTAGTGTTGGCCCCAGCCTGAATCTGCGTGGGTTAGGAAGAAGGACCGGTAAGCAGGATAGCACAACCATGTCATAAGCTACTGACAGCCTTCTGCAGTTTGAGTCCTTTATATGAAGTACCTAGGAAATAATGAGAGCTGAGCAGTTCCAGTGTGCTGTACAAAGGCTCTTCCATAGATGGAGACCATTTCCACCAATGAGTCAGAATAGCCTTATCTACTGCTTCCTACCTTTGATTCTCAATCAGTATTGATGCTGTAGTGCCTACAGTCTTTTGGGATTGCGAATGGTGGGGGAATTCAGCCATTTTTATTTCCTTCTGCTTTTGCTGTCTAGCGATTGCATTATAAGGGCAAGAATAAGTTCCTGTTTTGCTCCTCACTTTGTAATAATAAAAACTTTATAGTAGTATTTTGGGACAGATGGACTGGACTTGTAACTTTGGGTAGTACTCTTTTTCTGTGTGCTTCTTTTCATAGAAACATAGCAGAAGAAAAAACACCAGTTAATAAAATAGAACTGTAGTCTAGTAGGAAAAGGGGAAAGTTCCCTGAATTTATATTCACTCCTGTAAAATACAATCCTATCACTGTGAATTCATCACATTTCATTTATGGCAAATGCAACTACATGCTATTTAGTATCCCAGGAACAAAATCAGACTCTCTTAGTGTGCTCACTGGAGCATTCAGATTTTCTGAGGCTGCAGTTGGAGGTATAAAGTAAAGGGGTGCTAATAAAAAATAAATAAAATTTGAGGATTTTGTTTTTCTTTTCCTTTGGATAAAACTTGTAGTCTTGCTTGTCAGATACTTGCAAGTAAACTCTTTACTAAAACTCAACTAAATGAGCCTTTCCTCTGGAGGATGATGTCATGAAGGATGTAAGGTTCTCTGGGTCTAAACTCAGAATGCAGTAATAAAAATTAACAGGAAAGCTTCATTCCACACAAATTTCCTCTTGACAATCAGTAACAAGAAACTTCAGGCTGTTAATAAAGAGGCTATGGAGATTTTCAAGCCAGGACTGACTGCTCAGCAAACCTGAACATCTGCTTTTAGTTTCTGCTTTGAAGTCTTCCTAGTGAAATGAAAAATTCTTACAGCTCAACATAATAACCTCTGTGGTGTCAGAAAACCAATCTCCTTGTATGTGCAAAACAAAGCAGTGCAGAAAATCAACTGACAGGAGTGACAAAAATAGGGGGATGAAAGTGTATAATCCCCACGTGCTTGCAGACTCCAGTTTGCTGCTGCAATATGAAAATCTGCATGCTCATGGGGACAAAGAGGGACTAGACACCAAGCATATTTTAGGTTACATCACTAGTATCCTTCTAATCTGCATTCAGCTTTAGAGTAGCCGGAGGTGTGGGTTTAAGGCTTTTTACATCTACCCATAAACTGCAGGAGGAATAAGCCAGTGTAAGGATAGACCAACTTAAACTCAGTCTGTTCTGTTGAATCCACTGCCTGTGGACTTGCCTGAATGAACAGCTCACCTTCTCTGACAATCTGGGGTGCTTACAGCTAAGGCAGTGATTTTTCAGGACCCTTTGCCCCAAGACGTGTATATAAATGCACAGGCGTTGCTCACAAACATTTGTTCATTTATCCATCCACATGACTGCATAGAGAATTTTAGAAAGTGAAAAGAAATGGAGTGCATTTCATCCCAGCTCTTCTTTAGGCACCTTCCATCAGGAAGCATGTAGATTAACACCTCCTGCTCTTATACAGTTTGTGTTTATTGCCCTCGTATGAAAATATCTCAGCTTTCAAAGATATTTTATTTCTCTGAATTAGAGAGAGGTGGAAAAACAAAGGCAAATGGTAGCTGAGGACTAAAAGTAGATCTTTCTTGTTATCAGTTGCTGTGCAAGATTATAAGGCCACAGAAATGGCTTGGTGTAGGATGTCTAATGACCAAATTGTGAAAGTTGAGTTGGCAAAAATATAGAGAGAGCAGGTGCCAACCCCCTGTCTCTGTGCTGTATTGTGTGAAGAGAGATACTCTGGAGATGGTACAGGAGAGGGACAGACAGTGATCTGATTTCCTCCCATATGCCCTGTGACCACAGCCGGCGCTGGCCGGGGCTCTGAACATAAGGGGCCTGCAACAGGAGACAGCTTGCTCTGCACGCCAGCAGGCACCGTGTTGCTTCCACCTTCACACCTAGCAATATATTTAAAAACCTGGTGAGAGACAAGCCTAGGAGATTGGCTTACAAGTCCTTTTGTAGCTCCCTTTGTAGCTTCTGTATATAAAAGTTGGAGAGGGAATGAGGCATACAGACAACCATTTACCATGTTTAGGGGGAGTCTGTAGATGTGAGTAAAGATTAGATCAGCAGGACACGGTTTCAGAAATCATTCTAAAAGTTCTCAACCTCTTTTAGATAGTCTTAAGAGAATCTGAAAGCTTTCATAGGTAGGTTAAAACACCTATTCTAGACTATTATTCTCTTTTATGCACCATGGAATATCATCTAGCAGTATGTATTTCTAGCCTGTTCATTTCTAAAATTCTTACCATCTTATTTAGGGAAGGATGCTTTGAGAAATCAGGGCAAGTTCATCATGCTGGACTGTGCTTAATACATGACTAAACCAGCTAGCAATGCTTCCAGTAGGAAATGTGGTATGACAAAAGCTTAAGTGTTGCTCGTTAAAGGATGACATCAGTGTTTGGCTCCATACAGAATTAAATTTTAAGAATCTCACCAGTGATACGACCAGAATCGCTTTTTAAGCTTTGAAATTTTATGATGTCAAACCTGACTTTTCTCAGGACTGGCAAGTTAATAAGAAAGCAAAATCATATATGGGTTTTAGGGGTTACCCTGTGAGCAAAAAAGGAACCTGAGTAATACAAAAGGGACAAAGGGAGTTGTCATGACCCTGTATTGCCATTTAGATATCCAGCAAAGCATAATGAAGAATAGCAGCCTCTGCCTCCAGCCGGGCCATAACAAGAGTGCCATTGTTGAGCTCCTTAGAGTGACGCCTGAAGGTTGTAGGCTTTAAGTTAGTACTGCTTTTTCCTGCTATTTTGTAGTTTCCTACCAAAAAAGTGAATAAAAAATAGGTTCATTTCCCCCCCCAGGAATCTTAATTGCTTATGGAACCTTGTGAGACCCTATTCTTCAATAAAAGCTGGGATACACAGAGAAGCATGTGGTGAGGGAAATGTGGTTTTTCAATGCACAATAGGAAATCAGGAAACACATGAACCTGAGAACAGCAACAGATTGCAGCAAGATAGAGGCCAGATGTGGAAATGGCTAGGACACTTTTAGGGAGCATTTGAAAGGTTACACCTCTATGGATTCTCAAATGAAATGTATGCTAGAGGCAGTTCAGAACCAGCCTCCAACGTTTCATGCGTATAGGAGTGCTGAGTGGCAAAAGGGTGCCTGAACAATCACAAGTCATATCCATACAAGCAGCACTGTTTGCAGCCTGATGTTTCAGCAGGTTTCTCCTAAGTTAGTTTATTGACATGCAAATTAAATGAAATAATTTCCCCCACCTTCTGTGCAAAGGTGAATTTTACATTACCTCACTTATTAGGTTATTTGTTAGCATGAGGAGATGTAGCCATAGAAGTTTCATTATAAACAATGTGCTTAGTTACTCTCATTTCATACTCTGAAAATTAAGCTGTATATTAAAATGTTTTTCATTTGTTATAAAAAGCTAATACTGCTGCCACGGTAGCCAGTTTGTTATATACTAGAGATAATTGCTATAAAGAACTAATGGTTCCCTCTGAAAATGGGATTCCCACCCTGTGGGAATAATTATGTGGAGTACTGAGGGCATATTTAAGAAGCCTTTCGTTTAGCTGCAGCACACCCCAGGCCCATCTGTTGGGAGCTGGGATGGGCTGCGGGAGCTGCAGCCGCTGCCACCAAAAGAAATGCGAAGCCACAGCCTCCAGCTCCCAAATTCCCAGGATGGTGTTCTCATCCTATTAAACCCAGCAGCAAAACTTCCTTTGACTTCAGTAAAGCCAAAGGTTTTCCACAATTGCCGTATGACATGGAGAACACTTAGCATTGTGGTGTAGGTTGGTACATCTAATTGCTCTTTATGTCACTGTTTGAAAAAACATTTTCCCGATAGCAAAATGCATGTCCTGCCCCCATCAGGTACACTGATCAGACTTTTTTGAGGATTGCAGTAAAAATCAACTACTGAAACATTCAAGGTTAAAAAAACCTCCTCCTCTTTCCTTTAAAAAAAGGCGTATGTGTGGGAATTACCACCAGATAAACCAGTCTCTTTTTAGCACCACTGCTTTTCAGGTTTTACCTGCCACTGACTCTGTATTTTTTTCCCCTCCATTGTCGTATACATCTTTCCAGCCAGACCCTTGCCTTTTGACCTTCTGCCTATGGCTCTGATTTCTCTCATTACTGTGTGTTATTCCTCTGTCCTCTCTTGCATTAAATCTCTTTTCCATTTTGTGTGTTCTACTACGTTTATGAATGCACAGCTCCTGCCTCTTCTAAACAACTAATGGACTTTAGTAATTGGAAATACGTCATGAGGAAGTACGCAGAGAGAGAGTAAACAATTTAATAGAAAAACCGGTGAGAAGATAGAAATCATCTATCTTCAGCACTGATTTTTTTACAGGGCTAGACATTAAAAAATGCGTCATAGCCTCTCCACAAGCTAAAATATTTCCTTTGTTCATATTTAAGCAAGCATTCCTGTTGAATTGTTTCTGCTTGAGGAAAGAATATTTTATACATAGATTTGGTCAAAAAGATATTTTCCTTTAATATGTTCATCTTCTCATTAAAAAGAAAAAAAAAACACCCAACAAAACCCCAGACCCTTTTGCTCAGAGATGTATTTGTTTAACATTTCATCCATGGTACATTTTGTTTTAACAGAACCATATCAAGATGTGTCACGACAGTTTGCTTTGATATTCAGTCAAGCCCCATTGCATCCTGCCGTTGCAGTAAGCTGCAGTGACAAATCACAAGGGATGTGGTCTAGCAAGGAAACTGGCTCATAACATTGAATTTGAGCACAAAAAACCTTCTGAACAGCTCTGCTGAGGCAATCTGTGTCCAAATCAATCCTTTCAGTACCAGTCAGGTTTTTCTCATTAAAAGTCAACATTTTTCACTGGAAGTAGAAACGTAACAGAATTTTAACTTCAGAGAAATCTCTGCTTTTTTATTTTCCAAAATATAGTTTTAGCCCTACTAATGTATCAAGTTGCTTTGGCTTTGTGTTTAACATATATTAACATGCCCAGATTATAGAGTTATAGGTACTAACAATAATTTCAGATTATAACAATAGGTTGAAAACTCTCCACTGGGTTTAGCACTCACTCTACTTTTCACTGGAATATCCCATTTTTTAGACTAATTTTGGGCTTGAAAAGCTACATTTGCATAACTAAAAAAAAAGCATGTAACATTTAAAGTTGTGTTTCAACGCGGCACCAAAGGCATGACAATGCAGAAGAGATATTATAACAAAAACACCATACTTCAAATGAAGAATAAATTAGTAAAACTTTTAAGCCTGGAGGAATGGAAAATATATATTTTTATGAGTTCCAGCAGTCTAGGGTAGGAGAAACAGCATACAAACACATACATATATATGCATAGATATGTCTTTTATATACATATATATATATATATATTTCACAGACCTGTCGGAGCGGGTCCAGAGAAGGGTCACAAAATGATCAGGGGGATAGAACACCTCTCCTATGAAGAAAGGCTGAGAGAGTTGGGGTTGTTCAGCCTAGGGAAGAGAAGGCTTCAGGGAGACCTTATTGCAGCCTATCAGTACTTAAAGGGGGCAGGGGGAATGGCTTTAAACTAAACGGGGGTAGATTTAGACTAGATATGAGGAAGAAATTCTTCACTATGAGGGTAGTGAAGCACTGGAAGAGGTTGCCCAGAAAGGTGGTGGATGCCCCATCCCTGGAAACATTCAAGGTGAGGTTGGAGGGGGCTCTGAGCAACCTGATCTAGTTGAAGATGTCCCTGCTCATTGCAGGGGGGTTGGACTAGGTGACCTTTAGAGGTCCCTTCCAACCCAAACTATTCTATGATATGATGATGATGATGATATATACATACATACAGTTTTAGCATAGCACTGTCATGTTCTTAATCTATAAAACAGCCTGACTGAAATCAGATGTTTTGGATTGACCGTGTCAGGGATCTTAATGATTTTTAGATACTAAGTACATTCTTGGAGTATAAAAACATAAAATGTTGTAAAATAACTCATACTTGACATCCAAAGGGTACACATGGCTTTGGAGTTGGAACCATTGATTTCAAACCAGTGCTCATACTGAGTGAATATATTTATTATTAAATGCAGAGAAGATAATGGTTGATAAACTATTATACAGATAAAGTGCTATTCCAAATGCAGCAAGTGTCAATATTGATGCGATTTTGGAGGTTTCAGTTACTATTATAATGAGGGTAGGAACATGAATAATAGAGATTCATAGAACATCTGTGACCATAGAGTATAATCATAATACATATCTGATAAAGGATTACTTGAAAAAGACCCAGGAAAAAAGATTTATATATTATGTAGACTTCATCTGCTATAGATAAGAGCTTTTAAAATGTTTTCACAACATTTTTGTTAAAAAAATTTGAGCAGGACTAAGATGTCCTCCTGAGGAAAACATCTCTAATGACATTGCAGGAGAAATCTCTGCCAGGTTTAATACAGGAATTAAATAAAAAGGTTCATTTTAAATATAAAGACAAGAGCAGCCTTTTCCTTCTTTCTTCTTGGAGGGTCGTATTCAGTTAGAACTGGGCAATGACATCTTTATAGGAAGTCTTTAATGTTTGATAGACAAACAAAGACAAAATTATAAGTGTAAACAGTTTAGCACAGAAGTCACGGCTTTCCTCCCTTCTCTCACTTTTTGCTAAAGTAGCTTGAAACTCTTCTGGGCAGGACTGTGCAGCCCTCCAAGAGGCTAGCCGTGGGGGTTTGAGGAAAATACACAGTAGATTTTTAAAGCTATTTTCTCTGTTTCTTCAGGTCAAATCCTCTTCTCTGTTCTACTTGCGATTCCTAGTGATATTATGAGACTTGGGTACTCATAGGCAAAATGAATTTGAGCTAATAATACTTGTATCAACTGTGCAATGACTCATACAATAAATATATTATTTCACGGAGAGGTTTGCCTTGGTTGGTATTGCAGCACAGTTCAGCACAATCTTTCCTAGAAAACGCCTCATAACCATCAATTATTGGAGAAAAATAATATAGCACTATTCCTGACACCCAGTGGTACTCACCAGCACAATCAAATCCATTTCCCCGGTAGCCCTGTTTACATTTGCATTTGAAGGATCCTTCGGTGTTGAGGCACTCTGCATGGAGGTTACACCTGTGTGTATTTGTCACGCATTCATTTATATCTAGGGAAAGATATAAATGCTTTAGTGAAAACTGCGTTGAAACCCAAGCTTCGTGGCAGCCTGTTTGTGCTGGCCATCTGTTTCCAGGTATTGTAATCACTAGTGTTAGACCAAGACAGTCCAGAGACCATCGGAGGCGGAAGAATTCACACTAACATCAGCTCCAACTGCACAACTACTGGGATGTGCATCCATGGAAAATGTAGAGCATCCCAGTGAATACAAAGTGAATAGAGTGATTTTCTGACTGAGAACAGGATTCAAACTACAGGTTGTACACACTGTTCTATTAACAAAAAGCAAAAGGCACCAAGAGAATGTGTGACATCAATTAAAAAACAATTCACCAAATCTTTCTCATTCTTTCATTCACTCTATAAGAAATGCAATGGAAAGTAACCCTGAGCATGCCAAGACGGTGAGATCTTCTATCTACCTCTAAGATTCCAGCATCCATATGATACTATATGACAAAAGTATAATCAGGAAAAATTCAGTAGAAAATACTAAGTTGAACTGACAGCAAAATGTACAGGCATCAAGAGTAACTGATTTTGTTCTCCTTTTCCCTTATTTTGCTACATCACAAAGATGTTTCTGATTTCTCCCACATGAGGGAGCCAAGTTGTTGCACAAATTTTTGCACCACTTGCATTTTATCTAGATTGCTTCATTTTTAGCAGCTGACAGGTTCTCTCATAATGTAAATCAGCTAGGAGACAGTAATAGGAAGACTGACTCAAAAATATAGTATGTCCGAGAGTGAGATTCAGGTTTGCAGATAAAATCCTGACTACTGAGACCTCTCCAGTTTTTCCCCCATGCACATATATTGTATGAAAAAAGTAAGTATTTTTTCCGCTTTAAGACTCTCAGGGTTTGCATACAGCAGGAAATGCAAACCTGAGTCTCCAAAACTTGCCTTATGATCTCCCTCACACTCCTAACTCCCAATACCAAGCAAATATAAACAAAAGCCATGAATTCTCTTTTGCATGCACTTCTTGTAGTAGTTCCAACCCTTCCAGGCCCTCGTGTAGTCAACTGCTTGAACAATACTGCTGCAGTGCCTGCCGCAGTCGCTTACACGTTGTTGTTCTTCCACCGTTCAGCTAATGGATTGAAACAGGAGTAAAGGTGTTTTGACATTTGTTTTAACACCTGGGCATGTTAAGATAACTTTTTGCCTGTATTTGTTTTTGTTTGGGAGAAACTTGGGCATGTAAGAGAGACCTTAAAAGTAATTAAAACCTGCTATTTTTATACTTTTTTTTGAAGTTCTGTACTGTCCATCCAAACAACTGTTTTTACAGTCATGAAAGCACTTGATTCACATTCTTCATTAACAACACCCAAAAAAAGGAAAAAAAAGATTGTGGGACTGCTTGTTCGTCACAGGTTGAAAGCCAAGAGGACAAAAAATGGCTTTTTAACTAAACCTGTACCAGAATTAGCACTTCTTTGAAGTCAGCTGTTGCTAACGTACTAGAAGCCCTTGCACATCTTGACTTGGTACAATGAGGCAATTTAATTTGCAAGTGCCAGCGATGAGGTTTTTCATAAAGCCACAGAGAAAACCCAGAGAAAAGTTTGAAGTGTCACCAAGAATATTCTTAGTGACATCTTTTATCCATTTCTGAGGTGGTATCCCCAGACTAGGCCAACGTGCTTCAGGCAATGACAGGAAAGATGCACAGTGTGGGAATGAAAAAGAACGAAGAAGGAAAATTCATGGGCTAAATCTTACCTACACAGTCATAATGGCCACTGATGTATTTCAGTTCATAACCAAGCTGGCACTTGCAGTAGTAGCTTCCAAATGTGTTGACACATCTGCGGTTGTAAGAGCAGACAGCTTTGCCAATGGAGCATTCATCGATATCTAGAGCAGGAGAAGGGATGCTGGTCAGATCCATGAGAAAGTAAACCAGGAAAGCAAGAACTAGTTGGGATTTGCACAGGAATAGTTTGGTCTTGGCTATCACAAGTTGTTTAATAAAAAAGTCCTATAATTTCACACTTGGGGATGGCTTTTGCATGCAGTAATATGAATGGAGCCACAAAATGGGAACTAACTTTATGGAAGATTTTGAGACCTGGCATGGTAAAAGAAAGGGTAACTGGTAGTGGGGATTCTCCCCACTGGGGACAATGATTTGCCCTCAGGTCATGGAGCAGGGTCAGGAGGAACTCCACAAATTCCATTATTTCCCTGAGAAAGGAAATGTCAGAGAATAGTTTAAGAGAAAGCCCCAGAAGCAGGAAACTGAGAGCAGCAACAGCTCTTTCTACTGAATCTCTGCACCTCCCCTTGCTGGGCTAAGTCAAGACACAGCAGGGAGAGAGCTTCCAGACTGCGAGTGGTCTGCCAAGCAAGGTAGATGACAGGGACAGATGTTTTGAAGAGAGAAGAAGGCAGCTTTGTATGGGAGGAGCCTAAGAACATTAGTCAACAACCATTGTAATTAAACGTTACTAATTTGATTTGTTTTGTTGTAATGTCAAATTAAAATAGCGCCAATTATGATATTTGGCATTTGTCCTTCCCTATCACATTTTAGCACATAGCAGTGACTTTGCACGTAATTCATCGTGCCATGCTGCTGCCCTTTACAGCTTAGAACTGCTGTGAAGTGCTGCTGGACCCCACATTCGTCTTTTTATCATTTCTACATTCTTTTACAGTGCTTAGGTGATCAAAGGAAAGTGGACAACAACAGAAAAATATTTAAACAAACTCATAGTCAAAAAATCCTTCTTTCTGCCCACGCTACACATTTCTGATGATGGTCTCTGTTCCCTAGCCTCCAGGGCATTCCCAGACCTCTCGAGGTTCCCAGTGCCTCTGCCAGGACCAGGGTCTGTCACAAGCTAAAGGGCAAGCCTGCTGCACTTGATCCTAGCATGAAGTTTATGTCTGCAATGAACACTGAAGACTCACCGTACTCTTAGAAACAACAGGTTTAGGTTTAATTAAAATTTTTTATCTATGATTGTTATTTTTTTCTTTCACCTATGTATATGTAGAAGAGGAAAAGTGAAACACATTAATGTGCTGTTTTGCTCTGCAGGTCCAGTAATAATGCAGCTTCTTAGGAGGATTAAGCCAAGACTAATAGCTAGGGATCTTCAAATGTTTACCTGTTTATAGTGTTTCTGTGACTAATACCAGACTATTAGAGTATCTTATAATCTATTAAGCGTTATGCTATATGGCAGGATGTTACTCTCTCTCTCATTTTATAGATGGAGAACTGGTGACAGAAAAACAGTGACATACCACAAGTCATGCAGAAAGAAGGGGTCTGATATTTCCAACCACTGGACATACCTTTTTGTCTATTTTACCTTGTCATATGTATCAGCATTCTTCCAAATCCATTTGAGCAGGCAAGGTAAAAACAAATGAATTCAATATAAAAGAATAAAAGGAGTTGCCTGAATAATTCAGTAAGAGATTTAAGAGAACCACTCATCTTGTCTATTGTATTTAAGTACATATGTCTACATTGTTCACCTTCAAATAGCTCTTAAACAATTCAAACATGTTAACTGTGACTGGTAGTAGTCTGAAAGCCTTGCTGATTACTCAAAGCAGGTAATTTCCAATTACAAACTAATTTCATTTGAAAGAAAGAAATAGCATTCTCATGTCGGAGTGTTTATAGTTTGGATGTTGAGCCAAGTATCCATATGGGTTTATCTGATAGCTCCTAAAAGTGATAAAGTAGTCCCAGGCCATACAACCTTCATATGTGACTTGATATTACAGCCATGTGTTAAGGAGAACAATTCATATAGTAACTGTCCTTCTACACGGCAGTGTCTTTTGGTCGATGCATTTATTTAATCTTTTGTTTGAAATGTTAAGTATAATATTGTTTTGGCCATTGCAGCTAAAATTCATTCTTTATGTTTGAATGTTAAACCTCTCAACATCTAAAACATTCTTTAAGCTGTAGAAATCATTCAACCAGTATGTATTGGTAAGCAGCATCAGAAATGGATTAGCTACTGTTATTCTTCTTTGCCTGTAAGGTATCATGTCCAAGCTGCCTTTTATGATCTGAAGAACATGCACCACTGTGACAGAAAGAATGTAAAAATATGTGAAGTCATCAATGTCATTAGGTATGTTGCTAAAGGCATTTTAGTAAATAGCACTTGTTGCAAAAAGTTTTTTCTCAGAATCACAGAATGGTTGAGGTTGGAAGGGACCTCTAGAGGTCATCTGGTCCAACCACCTCAAGCAGGGACACCTACAGACTGTTGGCCAGGACCATGTCAAAAAGGCTTTTGAATATCTTCAAGGAGAAATTTCCATTCTCTATCTTCCGTTCTGTTTTGGGCAGCTCTGGGAAATAAAATATTTCCCAGCCGCAATTTTCAATCTTCTATGCTTGTCTGAATGGAATAAAGATTAAAAAAACCACAAAATACAATTCCCTGGGGTTGACGAGGGGTGTTACCCATTTAGAGGCAGGTGAGACTAGGAAAGAAAGGCTAGATTGGGAAAGAGGGAAAGTAGGAAAGAAGGAAACAAAAACCATTTGCTGGATGGTTTTTTTTTAAATTGATAATGTTCAAATGCTACAAGTTAGCATTTTACAGGAAAATGTACTTATTGATTCAAAAGGACAACTTGCATTTCAAGAATTAGCTAAAGCTATTGTAAAGAAGAAACCTGGAACTGAAAATTCTTTGGTTTTTTTCACATATGAAGCTCTGCTACTGGTCCTATTTTAAAATGAAACGGCATAAAGTATGTACAAAGCAGTATTTCCCTTAAATTTAAAACAAAGAACGTCTGGTCTGAAAAATGAACACTTTCAGAGCCTTTCAGGTTTGTCTGTGATGAACAGCAACAAGAACATTCCAGCTTTCAGAAAGATGCCCAGGCAGCCCCTGGACCTGATTTATCAGGGCACAGCCCTGCAGACGCTGGGGTCAGACGTGGCTCCCAGCTCACAGCCCTGCTCCTGCTGCTCCCTGACACGCACTTCACTGCCCCTTCTTCTCTAGCTGTTGGAGCGGTCCCTGCTTTGGAGGGTTTGTTTCACACCTATTGGGTTTTGAAAGGAGCTCATTTAGCTTCGATATTGAAACGGGTACCATTTCAGCATTGGATTGCAATGCTGTAGCACTGCTTTGTTAGATGACGATGTAAAATGGTATCACAGAACAGTACCAAGTGTTGTAAGTAATGCTTTCTTCATCACACAGGAAACCCCCAGGTAAATTGGTGTTGAGGCTTCTGGAGAAAAATCTGGAAGCTTGTATTGTGGGTTATCACAATAAAAGAAAAACCCACCCAAACACCCCCCCCAAATCCTATAATGCATTATATCAGTAGGACAGCTTCCTGCAGGCAAAACATTGTAGACCTCAGAGCAATAGGGAGAAACTGAATCTGTTGATGACTCCAAATTATGTCAAAACATTTAATTGTTTATTGGGGATAGGACTCGCCCAAAAAATGACATGGCCAACATTATGAGAACAGTTTTTAAAAAAAGCATGCAAGCTTTACATCACACTGCGAGTAACAAGAAGCATTATTCAAGCCAGTGAGGAGAGCTAACTACTTATTAACCTTTTCCCAGACTCTTAAATTTTTCGGGATCCTATAGAAAAGAAGCTGAGAGTGAGTTCTCTAACCATACCAATGCATGTCCTTCCATTCGGTCCCAACTGAAGGCCACCTGATGGACAAAGGCACTGTATCTCCCCTTTGACTTCTTCACATCCATATTGGCAATTCACCATGGCACATGTCCTAGAACCTGAAAACAGTATTTAAAATAACAAAAAGAGCAAAAATCTAGGCTGGGATCACACACTTAAAATTAAGTTAGATCTGGATGAATGCAGAAAATTAATCACAACAACAAAATTCCACTCATCATTAATCAAGATGTTTATACATTAACACATTAGTAATACAATTCAGGAGTCCGTGAGATGGATCTTAAATTCCCCCTCTCCTTCACTTTGTTCTTTCCTTATTTGCCCTTATTCATCCTTTTTTCTCTGCTCCCATTTCTGTGACTTCTTACTACTACCTTTTAGATTCAGAGAGAGGACTGCTCAAAGTAGAAAAAATGTTTTTTTATATTTTCCATTGCAATAGTTTTACCATACAGAAAACTGTTATTCAGTAGTGAGTTGTATTTATTGCTTGTCATTAAACGTTCTTCTAGTATAGAATTTGATTTTAAAAAAATATTTAGCCTGATGGACTTAAAAACTGCCCTTCAGTTTGACCCTTCATGGAACAGATACTTGAATCTAACGAGGCGCTAACCAGAACACAAGTTCTGGCTGCCATAGGTTTGTTAGGAGTGTGAAATATTGGAGATGACTTTGATTAGCCTCTAAAGAGAAACACAGGGGTGTAGATCTTGTCTGAGAGACCTATGAGAGGCTAGAAAAGTAGGAGAAATGTATTAAATACGTAGGGAGATATTTCTAAAATCCTGAAGGTACCCGGGAAGCGTTAGCGTTATGATGCCAGGGAGAGAAGTAGTATTTGGAAGTGTTTACTGGAAGAGACTGAGGTGTGTGCAAAGAAAGTATTTCTGGCTACTTCACTCTAGTTGCGTTCAGGGAACCAGCACTGTATATAGGTTCTTAGTAAGTGGAAAGCCTGGAACAGTTGTCAATTTATTTGAGACAGAAACTGACTGCAAGAACTTGAAAGTAGCTCACCACTTAGGTAGAAAATTATATGAATTTTATTTTAAAATGCAATGTGTTTATTGTCAGAGGTACTAGCACTTTCAGAACGGTGTATAATAGAGTGTGTAGAAAAGACAATGATGTGTGCAGGTGCTTATATAACTACAGCCATATTATTCGATGTGAATATAAAATATGCATATTAGTTCTGTGTGCCATTAAAATTAATCTGTTTAATCTGTGATAAAATTATTTTTCTTAGACTGATTTGTTTAGACTTTGTGGCCAAGTAATAAATATTTAAGGCCAAGAATTCACTGTATTTGCAAATGCGTTTTACTTGCGTATGAATGAGAACATACAGGAGGTAAGAGTTAAAAAAAGATGGACTGTAAATCATAATACTTTAGCACATTGTCTACTTCCTAAGTGGTAATGAAGAAACTTACTAAACGTTATTCTTCTCTAATTGGTAATTGTCCATTTTTTTTTCTCTTTTGTTTGAAGGTCCTATTCCTGGCTTTGGTTAGACATAATACTGGCTTAGAGGAACAGCTAATCAGCTCTAGTATAGTAATTCCTGCAGACTTTAGGTGTTTTTGTGTTAGATACTAACCTATTATCTATTTTAAGCAATGGTTCTCTGTGGCCCAAAGCCACATTTTTTCTGATACCCTTCTTCCACCTCCACAGTCCCTTGGCGTGGTTGCAGATAAGCCTGACTGCTCAGACTAGGTGGACTTCATCTTGCTAAGGAGACTTACATCATGGAGAATTTGATTCAAAAGGAGCAACATTATGCTCAAAATGTTTGCCTGAATAAAATGATGAGTACTCTAGAGTTGGTTAAATAACCTGGCATTTTATCTGAGCACAAGCTTAAATTAGCATCAAGTGAAGTGGGAGGCTAGTAGACTTAACCAAGAATAATGTCTACTTGAGTAAAGAGTTTACTACTTCATTTCATAATCATAGTTTCTGCTTAAGAAAATAAAGACTCTTCGGAACTGGAAGGTGGCAGATGGGTTGGGTTAATGAAGCACAAGCTGGATGAACATTTTTTTGCCTTCTTCACTAGAGCTGTGAAGAATGAAAACTTCCCTTCTGTGGGAAACCTGGTTTTCCCCCTGAAGTTTGGTTTCATTCTGTGTCAGTGTTTGTCGGGGTTCCACTGAGAAATAATGTTTCCGTGTGCCAAAGTGAAATGCAAGCTCCAGGGGTCACAGCTGCTCAGGCAATTTTTTCATATATACTCGACACTGGCCACTACTGCTGCTGAGCAATTCAGCGTTTTGTGCTGGCTTAAGCAAGAGATGGCGCAACTGCGCATTTGGTACAAATTTGGTACAAATGCAGAGCTTCTTAAATCAGGAAACCAGTCCTGAACTAAGGCTGGCTTAAAGCTAATCCAGCAGAAATGGTTAGTAACAACCTGGATTTAGTTTTCTGCCTTGGTTCAGAAGTGTGGCTGCAGCAAGCGTTTGTGCTCAGAGGAGCAGGAGCGAGGGATGGATGGGACAAAGCTGCTGCTGGGCTCAAAAGATAGTTTCTTTTGACTGTAGTTCTGGCTTCTGCCAACTTCAGCTGTCTGTAAGACAGTGGCCTTACTGAAAACTGCTCGGTGTACGATGTCAGCAGATACACAAATTAACTTGGAAGAAACAGAAGGAATACATATCCATTTCTCAGGGATCTCAGGGCCCTGCAGCTGTTGTCTGCCGGTGATACCCACCATGATTAGTAACACAGAGGCACAACCCTGAGCTGCGCTGCAGGGAAGGGAAATGCTCCAAAAGCTCTGGCCCCAGGCACCTTTCGCAGCAATTTCGGTCTCCCTACCACAAGAGAGAGAGTAGGAGGTCTGGCTTTTCTGCCTGCCCTAGAGCTGCAGACCCTGCACTCCTGCACGTGTTTGCTAAGGCTGGGTATTTTTCCAGTTATCCCAAAACTGACAGCAAACTCGCCAGATGGACACCCTGCCTGGTGAATGGTTGTCTCCAAGATCAAAGCCTTTCCGAGTTTATGGTTCTCTGTCATATCCATGTGAAGGATTGTGCTGCACCCCATACAGCTAGGTCCATTGCTTTAGGAGAGACCTCTCAAGCAGATTGTTCCACTGCTGACACCAACTAGCTTCCTTGTCCAACTAATGCATCTGTTTCAGTCCCGTGGACTCCAGAAAGGGTAGTCACCATGTTACCTACGGTTTTGTGAAATTCAAAGCCAAAATACCTGTATGGAACAGCTCAGGTGAAGGAAAAAAAGTATTTTCTACAAACAAAACAGTGTCACTGAAAAATAAGAAGCTTCCTCAGGTCTGAAAAATCAGGTTGGCTAAGAAAGCAGAATACTTCCCACTACATTGCTGGCTTAAAGACAAAGAAAATAGGTAGAAATACAGTTTAGATAAGCCTTAGCTCCGTGAACAAATGTTTGCAAGAAGCTGGCGGCAAGTGTGGGAAGCATATCAACACTCAGAGACAATAAATGAGTCAGGGAACACACAAAGGTAAAGCAAGGAGTAATGGCATGAAATTCAGCACAGTAAAAAGTAGTCTATATTGGTGCTTTGCTTCGATAGATTCATTCATCCTTATTCAACAGATGAACTGGCAGGACTATACACCAAGGTTATGCCAGCTGTCCTTCATCTGAAGTAACGCTATCAAAGATTTTTACTTCTAGCAGGACAAAAATTCCTCTGAACACCAACACACAAGTATGACCTAGTTTACTTTATCCAGATACTGCCAAATAGAAAGCCTCTTTCAGCTGCTGACAGTACCAGAGAGCTCAGGCAAAGACCCTATCCTGAATAAGCTAAATCCATTCATCACAAGAAGAAAATCTGCTGGGATCAAATGTGATTAGATGATTTTGGTGTGCCTGTCCTATCAGCTCTATTACTTACTTGCACATGTGCCATCTGGCATGAGCATGTAGCCGTTGAGACAATAGCACTTGTAGCTGCCATGTGTATTCATACATCTGTGTTCACAGGGACGTGGTTTCAGTCCACATTCGTTCAGATCTGTAGAAGTCATTGGAATGAAGTGAGTGCTGGATTTATATATGTATTCATATATATAGGTGGATAATATTGCCTAATGCCTTGAATTCCCCACAGTAAAATTGCCTGGATTGAAAATGAGCCAGCCCCTTGCAAGATGAGAGTTTAGCAGACCATCTGGCTGAAAGACTGCTAGCAAAACTAACATACACAGACCTCTACACCTGAAAAACTAACGCAAACTCTGGCCACATCTGGCAGCTTGTTAGGAAGAGGTGGAGGGGTGGGGAGAGAATTGCAGTTAGTCTCTTTTCTGGGAGTTATTTTTCTGGATTTCTCTGATTCGAGCTGGAGATTTTAGCCCTCCAGTTGACCTCTGTACTAGAAAGGCAAAACCATGAGACTAAGAACAGCAAATCAGCTTGAGATAAAGTGAAACAAAGATTTTGGTCTGGTTTTTTTCTTCTGAGCTACACATTGGCACCAAGGTTATCAGTAGCAGAAATTAAATACAATATATTAATAAGAATTATGTGACTTTAAGAATTAAAGGACAAATCTCAAAAATCTCAAAATCCTGAGAATAAAAGCATCCTAAATCCTTGTCAAAATCCAGGATTTAGAATGCTTTGCAAAAACTAAATTAATTTCAAATTCCCAATAGCTATCCTTCACAGGGAGAAAAATAGAGTCCTAAAAAGTTTAATTTGTGTGGTATAGGCAGAGCAGTGCTGACAATGGTATTGGTCCTATGATAAGGGGACAACATCTGTGCTTGTGACTTCTGTGAACTGACACCTCTCCCACTTGTATTTTGAAACCTCATTAGTAAACAGACAGAAGTCATTAACAGAGTGCGCCGTCATACTCAGCCCATTCAACATGTGTTTAATGGCACTTATTACCAATAATATAATTTCAATAAAGATGCAGCTCTCCAAGCACCGAGCTTGTGCAGCTCCACTTCTAATGGGAGAAGCATCTGTTCTCATATCTATGTGCCTTGCAGACCACAGAAAAATCTCCAGACCATTCAAAACAAACTTTGTGGTGGTTATACATGTGCAGAAGTGTTTGTTACAGCTCAGTCCAGGGAAGAGAGAGAGGGTTGCATTCTATTATTTAGAGGGTCTGTTTGAAAGAGGAAAACCTATCAGCTTGCAAATCGCACTGGATTTTTGTGCTACTGTGGCTCCACTAAATAACCAAGACTCTCATAACAAAGAAACTAGAGGGGAACAAAAGTTATTCCACTTAGACCATACATTTTCAAAAGTGCTTAGCTGCACCTATCTTGTACAATGCACAGTAATGCACAGATAGCATACACAGCTCTAAAAGAGGACCTATGGAGATAAGGCTAATTTAGCTCAGACTCAGTGGCAGACTAATACAGTCCCCTTATCTCTGTTATTTTAGTTAGCTCATGTTAAGCTTGCTCAGCAGGGCATTCTGCTGTAAGGACAGACCAAGGCTACATCTTCCTGTAAATTAAAAGTGGCTCTGAGCATTCCTGGCTGCTGGAACATGACCACCTATATGGCTACACTATTGAAATAGCTCCGGGACGTTTCTGGCCTGTGCCAGCCACCACTTTACTAAAAAATTCCTGGCCATGCTTCAGAAGGTAGAACAGCCCAGGGAGCTAACAGGCAACTTGCACATGTAGGTCTGTGCTTGGTGCTTCCACCAAGCCTCAGACTCTGAATCTACTACAAGTGCGCAGAACTGATCTGCTTGCTTACGGAGGGCATATCAAATCCAGCTGGAGTTACTGCACAGAAAACACCTAAAAGCTGGGGGCTTCTCTGTTGCCTTTTGGCAACATTTAAGCTGCCAAATCATTTTTGAGGTTAAACTTCTGGGTTTAGAGGCTGAAGTTGTAAGTGATACCTACATATCTGTTACACACAACCACAGCTGCTGTTTCACTTTCCTCTCTAGTGGTACTAAGGAATTGACTTATTTCCCTGCAAGCAACATCAAAAGTGCAAAAGATGGAGTTTTATAAAATACTTAACAGTATAGCTTTATAGCATATTGTTTGAAAGATATTGTGTAATAAATGGGTTGTTTCGCCTCTGAAAAATGTGAGTGTGTTTAGTATGTCAATGCAATGTTTTCAAGCAAAGGCTGCAAGTGCTTTGGAAGGTAGCAAGGATAGACCCATCCATTCGTGTGGCCTTTATGTCCTGCTTCCCTCACACACCTGCAGTTCACTCATTTGCACTGCAATAGGGTGGCACCTCTCCATGCACAGTGACCTGCTCCTTTCATCTGATCCAACACAGGGGTCTCATATATTGGAACGGGAAAAAAAAGCTGAGTTGTCACCAGTGTGTTAGCTGAAATATTTCAATGTCTAACTGCAAGTTTATGGAGGGAAAGTGGTGCATTCAAAGTTTCCGAATATGAAATCCTAAAGACTCCGAATTCTGTGTTCTCAAAAATACCAATCAGCATATGCAAACAGATGGCATTGGCCCAGGAAGCTTGAGAAATTACATGTCTAGCATATAATTGCATGTCTTTCTGATGAGAAGGTTAGTTAAGAAAGTAACATGGGTTCCTAGTTAAGAAAATAACATGGGTTCTGGATTTGACTTCTGGCTCTTCTAATAATTTCCTGTATAATCTCTCCATGCCTTAATCCTCTGACTATAAATATGACAGTTTGCCCTTGTCATCGGCCCACGGGAGATACATGATATAGGTTCAAACATCTGTGTGCTGAAGGAGGCTTAGAGCTTGTCTGGGGTGCTGGACATGCAAGAGTCTTAAACTCTAAGCTCTTCTATGTAAACAAGAAAATATCTTGCTTTACTATTTTGGTAGATGACACAACCCTTACTACAAGATAAGGAGACAGAACATCAACAGTCCGCTTTCTGGAGTAATATCCCCATGTGCACAAACCTTGATTACAGGTTTTCCCTGTAAATCCAGGGAAACATTTGCATTTGTTTGGTCCCATGCACTCGCCATACTTGCAGCCATGTCCACAGATAGCTGGGGGAGTCAGGCAGAGAAAGGAGAGAGAAAAAGAAAAAGTTAGAAATACTCTATTTGAGAACTTTTGCCCTGTTTAGTTGCCTAATAACTTGTTGCACAAGTTCAACATCCTCCACACCTCCCCCTCTAGTTTGGGCATGGTAGCTACTGATCAGCACTTTATTTCTGCTGGAGAAAAGTGACACTAGCATGGATTACACGAGTGTGTGCTTTTCCAGTTTGTAAAGGCCTGGAAAAGAAGGGGCTCCTTTTAGCTCTCTCCTTCACGCTTTTTCTGCCATGCTTACGATTCTTGCCCTTTTCCTATTTTTAAGAAGCCTATGTGAGAAGCAGCCAGCCAGCAGCTTGACTTGCTACGCTGGGCATCTGGAGTAGGAAAGAAGCAACAGCACTCCTGCAGCCACAGGAGGCACATTACCCTACAGCAGTTTTCCACTCTTGGATCTCCACACTTACAAGCAAGGAACATGTCCATCCCATGGTGGAACATCCAGAGCACATCCATCAAACAATCGGGCAACTATCCTTAGCACACACCCCAATATGTAAAATTGCATCAGGTTTACAATGACTCGAGAGGGCTGTGCTTAGCCTGGATGCATTAAAAAGTAAAAGTTTTCTAGCTCTCGGCTTTCTGGGTCATTAGTCAGAAATTAAATGTTGGCTTTTATAAGGCTTAAGGCTCCTAAAGTCAATGTGATTGTCAACATGAGGGTTATTCAGAAAAAGCAAACCAAACATGCATTTAAATCAGGACTAGCTCTGGAAAAACAGCAAAAGAGTATGCACCAGGATGCACGTCTCACTACCTTGTGTAATTAAGCTGCTATCCAAACAGTAGGAAATAGGAAAGTCAGTGTTAGTTACTATATAGTAAAATTCTTAACTAAAATTCATACTGCTGAATTCAAGTATCTTCTTTACATTTAAAGATTCGTTCAGCTCTGCAGATTAAGGCATATTTCAACACTACCCCTATCCCTGAACGCAACGTGGCACAGTGTGAGACCAGCTGAGTATTAACACTGAAGCAGAGAACACCACTGCATCTGGATTTACAGTGCAGAATTACATTATAGTTGGCTTAAAGAAATCTGCCAAAGAAAAAACTTAAAAGTTTATGAAAAATGAATTTTACTAATAAAGCACCCTATTACTTTACAACAAGACAATTTACTCCACTGGCTGATTGAAGTTACATTTGCCAGTTGTCCCTTGAGGTATTCATTTGCATCAAAACTAAGGTGCTATTAAGCAATGCATAAATATTAATAGAGGTATTAATCAGTTTTTCCTTTTTTAAATTGTCACGCTGTATATACAGAGCAGAGACTTTTTGCATCTTTCCCTTTTAGACATCAGTCTGTTGATTTTCAGCAATGAATAACCCTAAGCCTCTATTCAAATTCACCAGATATACAATGTCAAACTCTCTGGGACAACAGGTGCAACATCTGAGGAAGATTCCTAAAACATGTATTTTATGACTTTGTTGTGTTTTGCCAAGTACAGCTAGAGAGAGATTCCACATCACCTTCTCCTTGGGATCTGAAGACCTTTAACAAATTTGAAATTTCTTAAGTCATCGACTCTTCATTAAGCCAATGGTCCACAGACAAGAATGCTGGCCGGCTACCTAAGCTCAAGTCAGGTGCACCTATTGCTTGGGTTTTATTTATGTATTTAGAAAGTTAAAACATCCTGGCTCTCAGAGGCTGTGTACTCTGAAGATAAAGGATATCAACTGATTAAAAAAACACTTCAGGGGTCCCTATGCAGCATTAGAAGACACTGCATTTTTGGCACTTGACAGCTGTAACAGTATAGGCACTGACCAGAGCTGTGCAGGAGCTTAGAACAGATGGTCCCTTCTGGACCTAAGAATTTTTCAATATGTATTTTATTGTTTGGTGTTATTTACCCAAAGCTCTGCTTTTTGAGGAGATGGTCTTTCAAACGTGTTTTATTCACTCTCTCACGGAGTTAAGAGGTTTCACTCCTCAGAAGGTTTCTTTCTGTAACTTCTGGCAGACGTATATGAAATCCCTTTATTAGTACCAAGTACACAGCCGTGGAGAGGAAACAAGCATAAAGTGTTAATGTTACCTTCGCAGTGGCCCTTGTTGTTCTTTTTCCAGCCATAACAGCAATCCAACCTAGAACCATAGCGACACACCCCAGGCTGGCTCACAGTCACCAGCTGCCCACGAGCTCTCGAGCTGTGTAAAGAAGGATAAACACTAGCTCCAGCAGGCACACACACTTTAATCCATTGCTCCATATACTCCTTTGTACATTTCCCTCATGTTTTATCCACTGTCAGGCATTTTCATTTCACCAAACCTTGGAGCATTCGACAGTATTCCCAGACAGGAATGCAAAGTTGCATTTGGTTGGAGAAACAGGGGAGATGGGAATGCTTCACCTGCAATAAGTTAACTGTGCAACATAAATCCTTTCTAATGAGAAACATGGCAAAGGCAAAAAATACAGCCAGGTCCCCTGCTAGAATGAGTCATTTTTAGTATCAGTGAAGTCAATGGGGTTGCTCCAGCTTGCGTCACATGAAGAATCTGGATTGGATATATGATGCCATACCTGACAGCGCTATTGCTTTGGATGATGAAATACTGATTCTACAGAAAAGCAGCTTTCTGAATATCAGTTGGCCCCATAAAAGCTAGTGACTTGCAGGCTCATAGCCACTGCATACGTGCAAAATGATTGCGTAAGTGCAGACAGTCCCGTGCATTCTGGTTGCATGGGACTCCCTGACCATATAAATTAACGTTAATTTAATCTGCCAATAAGCCCAGGGGGTTCAAAGTCACTGTGCACATCAACAGCTGCAAGAGTTGGAAAACCTGCAACGTTAGTAGCAAAATTATAAATCTGACAGAAATCCACAACTGTGTCAGTCTTCTAGACATACTCTATGCTGCAACGGGTGCTGTGACTCTGGTTCTCTTCTCCCTCTGCTTGCTGTTACTCAAGTTCTGCATTACCACATGCCTGTCCCCTTTACGAAATTCTCTTTATCCAAAATCCTGTGTCCCCACTGCTTTTTCCAGGCCATAATTTAAAATGCGCTTTCTTCAAAGAGTCCAAAGTGTTGTTTCTGACACAGAAAATACCTTATCTGTGAGAGCTTCATAGTAAGTGATTTGGAGTATTGAGGGGGCCAATACACAACAAACATCCCCCTGGTGGTGGTGTGGG